CCAAAGAGATATTTTGTGATATTTATGTTTAGTGATGTAATATGCTCGTGTTATTAACTTTTAAGGTTGAAATGTATGCTTTTAAAAATATTAGGTATAAAGTTTTTTAAGACGTCGGTTGAAATATATGTAAGCATTCATGTCTATTTTTTAAAATATATTTTACTGTAAAAATGCATAATCCTTTAGTATAATAAACCTAAGTGTATTAGTGAAATTGAATACGATGTTAAATTATGATAATCAACATACATATAGTAATTAAAAGAGACTTACTCATTATAATATAATTAAATAATTCTTAAGATTTAAATGAATTTGATTATATTTAAAATAAGTGAATTTGAGGTCTAAACATCAAATCTGTGGAGGTTAATAAATTGATTTATTTATGCATGGTTGGGATTGTAGATAATTAAATAAAGATAAAAATAAAAAAATATTATACTAAAAATATTTAGATAAATAAGTGAGATTGAAAGATAAATTCAGACCAATTTTTTTTTTTTTTTTATCAATCCAAATTAGACTTTGTATCAAAACTAAATTTATATTAAAAAAAGAAAACATAAGATGAGATCTAAATACAGTTGTCAAACATTACTGTTCATAACATATGTGCAGTTGTCGATTACAGTTAAATATGGAACAGTCATGTTGTTTTATTTGGCGAGTGACATATTTCAAACTTACCTATTTTATTTATATATATATATATAAAACATAATTAAATAAAAAGATGACATATGATATATACATGGTATGGTATGAATAGAATTAGGATTACAATGTTAGATCCCCATCACTATCTACACCAAATTAATTTGTGTTTGTTTAATTATGCTATGCAAAAGACTGAAGTCTCGAACTAATTAATAATGCAATTGCTTTAATAAAAACACATCACATACTTATTATTCCAAGCAATATCAATCCATGTATTGCAGTCACATCACCCACATGTAGCAGCTCTCGTACTTTGCTACAGTGTCCAATTGTGGCTCCAGGTAGATCGCAATGGAGTCAAGAAACTGGCCGCCACGGCCGAAGAAGCCCGAGATCTTTCCTGCTGCTATCGGAAGGGCAAACGGAGTCGCTTCCATAGCGTTCTTTATTTAGAAAGGATCATTTGAGGTTATTCTCACATAACCTTTTTTTTTTCTAAATAATCGTTTTACTTCTGTCGATCATCGTCCTCCGTCGTGCTTGTGGTGCGAAGAGTGGGTCCTTTTACGAGAATGGTGCTCCCAACGGTATCAGCATCCCTCGATCGACACAAGGTGTTCTCCCTCTTGAAGTGCAATCTGGAATAGCAGGAGAAAGCGTGATGTGGTCATAGCTTTTCTTCGTCTCTTTCACTGTTCGGTGTGGATTACAGTTGCATCAACATGTCACAGTTGTGAGTTCTTCTGCATGCACGCTTGCTTGGGTTCAAAGCTGGTACTTATCGATAAAAACAAGAAGAAGAAGAGCAGTTGTGAGTTCTTCTGCATGCATGCTTGCTT